CCCAAAGGACCTTGACTACCAATAATTCAATCCCCCTTTTTGAAAATTTTTCCGGGAAAACCCCAAAGTATCCAGATCTTTATTGGACCGTTAGAATATAACGCAGACCCTCCCTTTACTGCCCAGGGTGAAAAGAAGCCCAAAGAAAAATCCCTATGGTCTGGGAAGATTTGATTCCTCTCCAGGAAGACTATTCTGGGTGAAAGCCACCACACCCATTAGTGACTTTGTCATGGTCAAGAATTTCTGATCGAACAGCCGGGGTTGGGTACTCCAAGCAGAAAAAATACCAAGAAATTCCCCCAGTCACTAGTGAATTCTCACAGCATACATGATTTACAGGGGTTCCCCCTGGATGGGTAATTCTGTGAAACAGGGCCCAAAAGAAATACTTTTTGGCCACGGTTGGGGAACTGACATTTTCCGATAGTTTTAAAAAAGTAGTGCTGAGCCATAAAGGAAAGTCAATGGGCCTAATCCAATCCAGGGTATCCAACTAACGAACCCCGGGGAAAAATTGCGCTAGTTTGTTAACCAAATTTTAATGTTCCCTCCAAAGGGAACAAACATCTTGTGTTATGAAACCATTTCCCAGATATTGTGATTATTCCATTGCAGAAAAAACTGCCCGGGCAGTAGCAAAAACATTTTAAAAACATTACTGCAGGCATACCACCCCTAAGTCTTTGTACAGAAAATGGGGGTAATTCTGTAATGAGTTCTTTAAAATTTGGTACCCGCATAGCTCAAATGTTTTAGAAGAATCCATGAAACACTTCATAAATCAAAACAAAATTTTTTAAGTACAATAGCCATGCTAACCGACAAAAGTTAAAGTGGGGTTTTGAGAATAATGTGACAATTTAAACAAAACATCTGAATGCCAAGCTCGACCAAAAATTTTTTTGCCTTATCGATATTAACATATCAAAGGCAAAAATAAAGTTAGAGAAATTAACTGGCAGTATAAGAACACATTTTGATCATAGAAGTTAGACACATGTTTAGATATTGCTACCCAGACTAAAGTACAATGCTGACAACCCTTGACTCTGTGCCCTCCCTCTAATACCACAGATAATCAACCCGAAGTTATTAATTTTTTGCATACTCGACAGAATGAGAAAACCCCCAAACATCTTTTGTAGATACCGTTTAGATCTTTCCTTATCAAGGCATGTTTAGCCATTGCAAAGGAATCGATCTCCCCAAAACGATAACCCTTCGCTTTTTAAATCTACCTTGCAGAATTGGGGTTTTTAAAAGACATAGCCCTTTAATTAGATGTCAAGATGAAAAGTTTCAAAATGTGTTTTTTTTATCAGCTGATCATTTTTTAGAATTTTTTTTTTTTGTTTATGTTTCCCCCTTTGAATTCTGAAATTTTGCTAAGATCTTTGTCCAATTTGCATTGCGTTTAAATTTCTTTCACCTTTTTAAATATATTTATTTTTCCTCAAAAACCCTAGAGTGCATAATACAGATCAATCGATCAATTCCCAAACCCTTATTATAAAATTTTTTACTTATAATTTGAATCATTTCGTTAAAAACCCCTTTTTTAACATTCATTATGATTCCATCCTAATTCTAAGTTACATAATCTTTGCTATTGTATAGAATCGCCCAGATTAACTTCCCGTTCAGCCTAAGAAAGTATTTTTATGTCGAGACGACATACGTAACATACCGAGCTGTCACAATTTTCTGATCCCCTACATGTGTTGTTAAACTTATCTGAGTAAAATATACCACCATATGTTTTTTTCTAAAACACCCCTTTTTTAGGGTAGGACTATTTGTTGAGTCACTGACTCTTTGTGAGCCCCTTTGCTCGTCTTCGCTCTCATCCCCACATAGGTCCAACACGAAACAGGGGAGATTGACTCCTCCCCAAAAACACTCGCAATGTAGGGTTAAAACCGTCCAACATGTGTTTATCTCCAAACCCCATATCTCCTACGAACCCGCCAAACAATACACGAAACACACACTGCACACAAAAATACACACACACCACACCACAAACACACACAAAACACACACACATCACCGCAACACACACACACCACCCACACACACACACACCCCACCCCACACACACACACACACACACAACACAAAAAAAAAAAAAAAAAAAAAAAAAAAAAAAAAAAAAAAAAAGGGAGGAAGACTGGGGAAGGGACTAGATGAGCTGGAAAGGGAAAGGGAAAAAGGTTAGCACAAAACAGAAGGGGGAAGCAACAGGGCCCCGCACAGAAATCAAAATAGATTTAAAAAGGGCGGACATCGAAACAGCAAGAGCAAAAATATTACAGAAATAGCATCGCAAAAGGGTACATCATACACAGCAACAGTCTGAAGGAAGCGGAAACGAAATTTCAGAGGTCCTGTCAAACCCAAGGGGGCCAAAACAAAGACAGGGGGCACAAATAGGACAAAGAGATTGGAAGCATTGAAGGAGCACGACATGGCAAGGACCTTACCAATACCTGTGGGGCCAGGAACAGGGAGCAGAAGGACAAACCAAGAAGCAAAAAGGGGGCCCAAAAAGGAAGGGACTAAAGGAAAGGGCACTCCACGGAGGGGAAAAAAAACACATCAAAGCAAAGGGGGTCACAAGGGGGGGTGGAAAGGGAAGATCCGTTTTGTCTATGGCTAGACGAAGCAAAGGGGAAAAATTTTATGAAAGAAAGCAGGAGGGGAAAAAACATTTAAGATATCATGAAGGGGATAGGCGAGGGGGGCTGACCCGGGTCAAATTTTCGGAGAATTGGGGGGTTCACAAAGAAAAGGAACGCCTCTCAAATAATTTTTTAAGGCAGAAAACAACCCAAACCATATCCTCGAGAAAGCACGGGTGAGAGGCAAGCAGGATTCCGGGGTGTGTACCTCGATCGAGACGAACACAGGGCGAAAGGAAACAAGAAAGAAGAGTTCAAAAAACGAAAGGAAAATGGGGGGGAAAAAAAAAAGGAGCAAAAAACCCAGGATCAAATGGAAAGGGCAAAACACACCCCCCAAAACACCTCAAACACTCCCCCACGACACCCCCCCAAACAACTGAACAATCCAAAAAAAACCATCACACACCGATCCCCTGTTTTCCCCCCCCCACCCACATTACAGATTAAACAAATTTTAAGGGTTTGGGAACAAAGGGGGGATGGGTAAAAAGAATAAACATGAGAAAGGGAAAAAGAATCATGGAAAATCACCAACATATAGCATACAGAAACAAAAATCACGGGGACAATAACAGATGCAATCTTTCCCCCCAATCCAATCAGAGGAAAGAAAAGGGGGGGGGGAGTGGGGTTCTCGCTCGAGAAAACAGATGGAAATTCGAGAAATTGAAGGCATGATGGAAAGGGAGGAAGAACTAATAGCAGGTACCTCAGTCTGGGGAACACAAAGGCAATCATGATGAAATTTTCCCCCACAAAACGCAGGAGGGCCCAAAAGAGGAAAATGAAGAAGGGAACAGAGCAAAGGGACACACTTGCTGAGGGGGCAAGAAAGCCACTCCACGAGCAAAGTTTTCGGCATGGGGGTTTCAACCCCAGGAGATTGCTGGGAAAAAACCCGAAGCCACATGGGGGGCCCGAAACATGGGGAGCCCGGAGTTGGCTGGGGCTTGAAAACCCATGCACCAACAGTTTAAAGGGCCACCAAGTAGAGGGGAGAAGAACCAGCAAATTGGACCTTTTTTTCACCCGGCAGCTCGGCTTTAGGACATCAAGTATGAGAGCCCCTAGGGGCTAGCGACCACGGGTTCGTGCTCTGAAAACAAGTAAGCGCAAGGGAGGAATAACAGAGTTGAATGGGAAAGCCGACTATAAAAGAGGGACAATAGGGTGAAGAACTTCCTGCGGGGGGCCATGGGACAAGAAAGCAGGAAAGCCAGTAAATGAAATGATGGGAATAAAAAACAAAAAGCAAGGGGGAGGAAAGGTTTATTCCCAAGGGGAACAGTAACAAAGGGGAAACCAAACGAGCCCCTGGTCACCCACGGGTAAGGAGGGAAAAAGAAGTGCAAAAAGAGAATGGAAAAGTAAAAGCAGGAACACCAAAAAGGGGGATCAGTCACAGAGCCAGGGAAAGATATGCACAGGGAAGGAGGGGGGGCCCAGCGAAAGTAGAAAAAACATACACGAGAATCAAGACTGACCCGAAACTGTTGTAAGCCACATCAGGAGGAAGACAACAGTCAAAGACAGTGACAATTAAGGAAAAGAAGGTGGGGAAACACACAAAAATGATCAGGAGGTTGTAGAGCGAACAGGAATTTAAGGAAAATTTTTTACATAAACAGAAGGGGTTGGGAAACACCAAAAAGGAACATCAAAAAAGGAATATACCCAAAAAGGGTTTGGGTGACATACGAACAACAGGGGGA